TAATTAGTCACCTGTGTATGGAGGTCAAGGATCACTGAACTTACCAAACCTAATTTAAGTTCCAATAATTAGTTCTAAAGGTTTTGAAATCAATAAAATGACACCTGCCTAATTTTGTTTAACCAATTATTGCACACTTTCTGTAAATCGTATAAACTTCATTTCACTTCTCAAACATCACTGTGTTTGTCCCCTATATGATATATTTTACTGCCTATTTTTATCCAAACAATCAATGATTAAAAAAGGTAAATCAGGAAAATTAACAAGGCTGCTCAAACTTTCGCACCCCACTGTATATACTGAGCATCTATCTCAGCTAGCACACCAAAATTCAGGCCAGTATCTGTAAAACAGACAAAGTTTTAACCATTTTTTTGTGTTTTGAATGTCACGTGACAGAGGCAGCCATCTTAAATTGGGTTAACTCCAAATGTTATTCGATTACTTTCTGCGAGTTTCATTMAAACTGTTCCAGTGGTTCATATCTAATCTGCCTTTGCCTTTTGCTGGTGGGCGATAACTAAAAAAAGACTCGAGGCACATGTGATGTTGATCAGAGAGTGTTTGAGTTCTTCTGACAGATCTGTGTTGATACATCTAATAAACGAGGTTTGGAGCTGCTGTTCTACATGAGCCCTAATGTCTTGTCTCGTGCTTTAACAAGCAGCCTGCTGAGGAACAGTGCACAGAGCCACCGAATCTTCCCTCGTAATCAATAAAATATCACCCGGTGTAATGAAAGGTGCGGGGAGGGATGTCGTTTTCCAGGCTGCTGCTGACCTCGGGATATTTCTGGTCCTGCGGGTCCCAGCGGAGCAGACGCATGAAGGCCCGGTTGAGGACGGCAGTGGGGCGGAGGAGACCTCGGCTGTCAGGACCGGGAGAGTCGAGCCGAGCTGCTGACAGCTCCTCTGATGCTGCTGCCTTGAGCCAAGCAGCTGTGTTGTCTAGAGAAGCTGAGGAGAAGCTAACTTTTTTAGACTGATGTGTTGAGAAATGATAGCAGTCGTTCTGGTCAAACAGAAAACATCTTGTGTTATCTTACGTGACATCACAAGCTCAGATTACGTCAGTTACACTATAAAGTGCATGTGTCATATTTGTTTTGTAATAAATATGAATACATTTTTGGAAAGATAACCTCTGTAATTTACTGCAAACAAAATTTCACACTGCTGAGAGAAACGGCTGTTGAGATATTTGCATGTGAAATAACAGGAAGTGATGTCAARGGGGAACGTCTGAATGTGAGAGTGTTGCTACAATGGCTGACAAGGAGGAGAAGAATCAGATTTTTAGATTATGAGTCAGTAGCTGCATTTCCATTGCAAATGTGTGCAAAACTTTGTCRATATTCTGTTAATGTCGAAAAACTCAGTTTCGCAACTGCGATGTTTCCATTAAGAAATGCTACTAAAGTCACGCGTAAATATGTTTGTTCTCACGATTAGTCATTATAAACATGGCGGCAATGGATGTACCCACATGCATAATTGCTACCACGACACTAGCGCTCATCATCAGAGGAGACATCGGCGTCTTTTATTGAGGCTTTCCAGCAACAAGCCCCTACTCGGGAGCGGCTACGTATGCTGTGTTTTTGGGAAATTGTAGTCGGTGAGTTTACTACGTTCTTCTACAACTTGGGCGATTTTACCACTACATCTACTTCCTGTTATCTTCTTCGTTGTCGTCTTTTTCGCCAGAAGAAACAGCCGGTTGTTGATCACGTGACTCCCGTGATACGAAAAAAGTGTTTCCGTTGCAGTTTTGCAAAACATACCAATTTCGATACGGCCGAAAAACCACCTCATCCTGGAGCAAAAACATTTTGTCGAAAAAAGGAAGTTTTTTCGAAATTGACGTGTTTCCATTGAGCAAATTTATTTTTGACATTCACATTCGCGCATTGTCACGGTCAATGGAAAAGCAGCTATTAGTCAGCTGCGGACATAAAAGTGCCTGCTGAAGGAAAGGAGAGAGGAAAAAGTAACTTATTTCTAGCGGCAGAACAGGTTGGAAG